AGATTTTAAGTTTAATTAATACTAAACATTTCAAAACGTTCTGGATACAGCCAGGACTGGATTCACCCAGCAAACAAAGGTGGTCGACAGTCAAACTGACTTTTCTTTCTTTTGGAATAGAGTGAAACATGAAAACTGAACAGAAGTCAAAGTTAAATGAATTAACAGGAATAACTGGCACAACAACAGGAGGTAGGATGGGGTGGGAATGTGTGGCTTGGCAGGTTTGACTTTAAGAGCAGGGGAGTGTGGTGGTGGGGGCGTTAGGAGGATAATCAGGAGTAACTTCCCATTCAGAGCAGACAAACAAGGGGAAACATTCGTAAACTTTTTTGTTTTTTAATGAATTCACAACCACAATTTAACTGAGGTCTGATTTTCCGGGACAAAACCATAAAAAGCTTCATGTTGTGCTCGCGTTGCCACAGGTTAATGTTAATTAACGATAAATGTTGTTACTAAATGTTTTACAAAAAACAATGTTACCACTTATCAACACTCTCCACTCAAATATTAAAATGTAATGTATTTGACCATAGCTTGACAATTTTTTCTTATTTAATCTTTATTAGTCTATAACATAATCTTTGTCACAGCCTTGGCTAAATAACCATGTGAAGTGTCAATCATTTCCCTGCTTCATATATAACAGAATTGTGCTCTTCCATAGGTAATGTTAGATTGGCTGTGAAATTGCAACATCAGAGCCTTTCAACAAACAGCTGAAGACAAACAGGGAGCAGGGTGGGTGGTGGCAGCACACCTTAAGTTTCAAATGTGAACCTCGCAACAATGGACACCCTCAGGCATCCTGTGCAGGTGTGACCTGGATTTGATAAAACCCTTAACTTCTTACCCAGTGCAAATAAAGTCAGAGCTGCCCAGGTGCAGCTTTTGTTTGTGTCTAACTTTTGGCAGTGCAGCAGCTTTCGCAACAGAGTCTGGGAACCAATAGCACAACAAAGGCAAGGCACTGAAAGCCTTATAGGTTCATTGGATCAGACGGCTAGCAAAGGGCTCCTTCTGCTGACTACAACCTGAACATTTATGAAGCAACTAAATTTAAAAAATACATTAAAGTCAACACTGTGAATACTAAATAGGTCACGCTCCTGGAGGGGTGCAGTGACACAGCACACAAAGGAAAGATGAGTTCTTTTCATCAGTCATGTCTGCTATCAATCTTTTTTAACACCATTGTTAGGGCAAGGACAGAGGAGACAGAATAACCCAACATGTGAATTAATTGACAGGTGTAATTTCAATCTTAAAAGTTGAAAGGCTGAGTGTGACAATAAAAGAAAGACAAAGGAGTGACCCCGTTGACAAATCAGACAAGAGATGACAATGAATGTGTCATGCATCTAAAGGAAAAGCTATAACTCTGCTTTCTTGTCCATTGTGTGGTTTTTCTCCTCACAGCCTTTCAGTGATGAAATCCTTTATGAGAAATTTGGTAGGTGAAACTTGAGACACCAGATGGATTTACAAGAAAAACCATAAAAACTTCCACATTGCATCATACAGATAAGGTCATTTAATCATTTAATTTCAATTCAATTCAAATGTGATAGTTTTTAAGCAACAAACTTAACCCTGTGGATTTGACCAAGAAGAAAGGCTGGGAGTGTTTGAGTGTGTCTGTGTTTAATTGTGGGTCTTTTAAAGCATGCACCACACTTAAAATTAAATGCTTCAAATAATAATAATGTGCAAACACAAAGAAAAAAGAAAGTAAAAAGTAAAAACACATGTTGGACGAGAACTGCTTTGCATTAGAGCACAGTAAGAAAATGAAGACACGAGGACCTGGAATGCATTAGAGGGACTGATCTTCAGGTTTGAGGTGCGTAGCAGGTAGGAAGCTTAAATCTAGTCCTTCCAAAAGCTAACTTTAAACAGTGTGAGAGACATTTTATGATGCCGCGTGGTCTTACTATCGAACCTTATCGAAGACAAACAGGTGTAGTTTTACACTTTCACTGAAGGGACTTTAGGTGTAACTGAGAGAAGAGGAAAGAAATTTAAACTGAGCCCAAATTTTTCATGCAGCATGACTGTATTTGTGTCTTTTCGGGGGGGTTTGCACATGTTAGTATGGAAATACAGCATGTGTGGTATTTATGAATAACACTGGGATCAGCGCTCACTAACAGATTACAGCGAATGTATTATAAACAATACATATGGTACAATACCAGTCTGAAGCTATGTATGGAACTGGCCTCAACATATGTTTTACTCTGTGTCGACACATGTGCAAATATTGTCTCTGGAACACATCTGTGTAATGTAAATATACCAATGAGGTCAAGCTTCGTCAAACTGCATTAAGACTACCTGTTACATAAACAGTTTCAAAGAGGAGGAGTATTAAGCGCACCAATGTGGGTTCAATTTTAAGCAGAAAAGAGCTGAAAGGAAAATAAACATCTTCCCAATCCAATTTTTCAGCAAAGGGAACTCTTAAAAGGTGAAAAATAAGAAGAGGTGGGAAAATATTATGTCAGCAAAACAGAGGTAGGGATGTAAACTGTAACGTTTTGCTTGTTTTTATTATGACTCTGTTTTCTGCATGCAGGAAGAAATAATACATTTTCACTGGATGTTTCTGTGAAAGAAAAAAGTTGGCTTAAGTTATTACGGGATAAAAGAAAGGGGAGTGGGGGCTTTTACATGGTAGGGTTTACTCTGTTAACAACCAGCAGGGAAGCTTTTGGTGTTACTACTCCTACTCCCCTCCATGCACTTCATGTGATCTCATAATTGCAAAGCCCACAGGGGCAGGTAAATGGAGGTCAAACAAAACTCCTTTTTGTTACTCCAGCATCTTGGAAGTGAATCATTTGAAGTCTATCAACACTAACACTCCCTGCAGAACAATGCAGTGTACGTGCCCTCAAATGGTCCACATTCCTTTCATCATATAAGTAAAGACTGAGAATTATGTTAAAAGTAACTGTTTGCAATGAAAATAGTCAGCTTCATGGTCACGAGCTGAAATCTTTCCCTAGTGCATCTAGGTTTAATTAGGCATACAGGTTTTGCCTGTGATCCAAAAACATCTCACTCAACAGCTACGTCTGAGACTGGACAGATGGGTAAGTAAAACCCAGAAATAAGCAAGTCCTGCCACTTAGAAACCATCTTGGTAACACAGTAACACTTCCAGATAGTTATTTGGGCAGTTATTTTGAAGGCTCAGTCTAAATGAATATGGACCAATGCATCCAAAGAACAGTTATGTATTAGGATATGAAAGAATATACTGAGAGGAGAAAAACAAATGCAAGAAACCAATGAAGTTCGGTGTAAAAAATTAAAACTGGGTTTTTGAACACAGTTTAGTGAACTTTTTTTAAACAGAAACACCAGAGACTATAGAAATAAAATATCATTGTCGTCTTCAGATTCTGGTTTAGAACCAGACTCTCTAAGCAGGACAATTGCAAAAATGTGATAATGGGATTTGAAATTTATAAACAAAAAACAATGCAGGTAGTTTCAATTCAATAACGGCATCGCAACCTACCAAGAGCAGCACAAATCAGTGGATCGAAAAGTAGGAAACCTTTTAAGGGAGGGAGCAAGTATTGTACTAATCAAAATAACTCTTTGTAAGCTCAGGGTTTACAGATATGTTTCAGTCTGTACACAGCACAGCAATTCAGACTGAATAGAGGCAGCTATAGAAGAATGCATTTTTGATATAAGGGGAAATTCACAAAATATTATTAACAACCTTGACAGCACTGTTTAATCAGAAGATGGGCATTACTACCCATATGGAAAAGATATATATAAATCTTCTAAAGTTTGTATCTGTCTTGTGTGAAACTTGTATGAAAAGCATATAAGAGTGAAAACAGATATAAGATCCCTTGAAAAATTATATAATGAAACTTGTATGTTTTGGATACTTACTAAAACAATGTATGAAAGTAATGAGGAAGTGGCCACTTTCATGAGTACGGTAATCACATATAAGTTTTTACTATTTCTTTTCCATATGGGTGAGGACCAGAAATATGTGGGGCTCAGCTCTAAACATTCACGCTGAATGCAAAGTCACAGCGCTGAACCATCCATGGCTACATTAGGCCTAAATAGGAAGTGCTTTTTTCTGAATTACATTCAGTACAATTTAAATACTTTCCTTCCCACATTTTGCACTGTGAAAGAGAAACATTTAGCAACTTAATCTCTTCAACCAGGATTCCCCAGAAAAGATGTGTGAAAAAGATGCAGACACCATGAGACAACCTTTCATATGAATTCCAAAAATCCAACTCAAACTACCCCTAACCCTATGTGAGTCACCCAAAGACGTTAGAAGTACACGATCACAATAAAGTTAAGAAAGTGCTTCCCAACTTGAGAAATTTGACCTTCGGCACAAAACAAGAATGCAGTTTTATGACTCTTCAACTGAAGGCCTTCATTTCCATCGCATTTGACTAACAATACATCTGGGCCTTAAACTCGGTGTGATTAGTACACATAAAGTAACAATCTCGGGATAATCTTTACAGGTGAAAGGTTCTCCAAGGTCCACTTTAGTCCAAGACTAAATTTACTGGTTATCTGCAAAAGGACATTAAAACAGCAGGTCTGGGTAGGGCTTCGCTCACTTCACTAGCAAGACTAATCATTCCATTTTATTGTGCAATGTCAGATGAAATACTGAGCTGAGCGTGTTCCCCTAAAAGTTTATATAACTTCAAGTCGGCACCACAGGTGAGGCCCCCTTAGAAACTATCTTAGTGGTTCAATCCAAAAAGCAAACTTGGGACCAGGTAGTTTGAGTTTTTGTAAACAAAGTTTTATGGATCAGAAACGGGTAGGCAGCCGGGTCTCATGGTATTTAGGAAGGAACTGGGGAGGGCATTTCCACTCAACTTGACACAGTATGGATTTTGTTCCCATCCTAATGGAATTGCAGAAATATTTGAGGGGAATCCCATTACGTAGCAATTGGAGTGCTGTAATAATGTACTCACAGTCATTTTCCCACTGCGGTTGGCCTCCTCTCGCTCTGCCAGGGCTTTCAGGAAGTTATCTTTGAGTTCTTTTCCTGCACTTGCCAGTGTCCTGGAAAAGACAACACTCAAACGGTTTGAAATGTTTCTCTTAACCTGAAAAAAGTCACATGAAGCCTTAAAGGTTCTTAATGGAAGCTTTTCACCTTCACCTTCGTGTTGCTACAGGGCAGTCTGACCCCCTTCTGCTCTAACATGAGCAAATAATCAAACATTATAAAGAAAAAGTGAATTAAAAATTGGCCATTGATTTGTTTTTTATCTCCTTTGACACTGTAGAAGAGAGATATTTCCGCTCTCTGTCTGCATGACTTTCCTTTCAATTTGCAAGTATAATCCCGCAGACTCAAGCCAGCATCTAGTATGTCATCCACAGCACTTCACCAAAGCTTATCTAGCTCTGAGAACGCTTCCACATATAAATTCTTAACGGAAGGTATCAAATTAAGTTGTTAATAAGTAGGGGTTTTTATTCTAAAATACATCTTAAATGTACAAAAATCAGCAGAAGGTTCCAGCAAGATGCTATTAATCATATCTGAGTTCAATGACTTTTTACTTTTTACACTTAGGCCAGCCTGTTTCCATGGAGACTTGTTTCTGGCGCACACAAACGTATCCACACCTGAAAAAACACTGGCACTAATATTTGAACAGTTAACACTGCAGTATGAGCAGCAGAACTTTGGCACGCATCCAGAAGCGACTGTGCAAAACATTCATCAGACCCACACCAAGTTAACATCTTAAAGGCAGTAAACAGGCCATTGGTGACTTCTCAGTTGTGGTAAAACATGAAGAAGAAAGAATGTAAATTTAAAAAATAAAATAAAAAAAGAAGCAGAACAGCCTTTAAATAAGCTACAATAAAGTAGAACGTGTAACTCCGGTGTTACTTCAGCTTTCTGGAACAGTGATGAACACAAACAAAATCTGAAATTCTCGACAGATTTCCCATGAGTGCATTATGTCCAATTTTTCAAGTAGTGTTAAGTATTTCACTTATAACGTGGAACTGAACTATGAAGATTTTTAATATTTTTTCACCTAAATTCAACTTTATATTTATGCAGTTTCATCTTCATTTGTAATGATATCATCAAAGCCCATTTCCCAACAGTGCATTGTGGGACAAATTGATCCATTAAAAATGGTCGTTAATCAACTCAGAAAATATTTAGTTAAACAGACCAAACAAACTGTTCTTTCTTCTTTAGTTAGTTAAACAGACCAAAGTAAGCTTTTTTGCCATTATTTTTTATTTATTTTTTATTTTTTTGCAAGGAGTGAAAGTATTTGGACGAGATGGCGGCACGCTAACGCCATACGGATTGGTTAGCAAATCTGAATTTATAAATGGAATGGGTTGAATGCACAGACGCACATGCTAACCATTGCTAAGTAACTCACTAATGGCAGAATTTCACTCACTTGGAGTGAGCAGAACTTCTTGGATGGTCTGTACCATGTAGCTATATGTATTTTTGTGGGTTTGATTTTATTAGTTCCACTGAGACTTAATGTCTCATTTACAAGAGAGACCTAGGCAAACATATTAGGATTACAACAATAAAAGAAACATTTGTTTCCGTGTTCTGCTACTGGAAACTGAATTTCCCGGAGGAATCTACCCGAGCGATTAATAAGGTTCTATCTATCTATTAAAATAACTAAAAATAATACCTGGGTGTTATTTTCAATTCTTTGATATTAGTGCTTATATGGGTGTCAAGTTTTAGATCCAACAGAAAATTCTTACTAATCTGCACCGAACCACCTCTTGACATGGGCTCATCAATCAATTTGGAACTTTTAACCAAGACTGGATATTTAGAAAATACTTCCAGTCAACAGTTACTCAGTGTCAAAATGTTTTCTGGGCACTTGTGCGCTATATTTTATCTGTGATGTGAGCTGGTCTTCATTTTGCCGAAGCAGCACCTTTAACTTGATTTGGATCTTGGGAAAGCAGACAAAGGCACATCTCATTCTGCTGGTTATCTGTGCTGGTGTGGCCGAAAAACGTGCTATGAGCACGGAGAGAATTACCTGGTTGGGAGGAATAGATTTCAACCCACAACTCAAGGAATAATTAAATAAGGATCAGCATTTTCCTAGTTATGCTCCTGACCTCAAGCAATGCTTTGTGGGTTGGACATTGCGGCTTCTTTAACACAAGAGTGTTGTAGGAACTACCACTGTTTAGCGTCAGCATGAAATTTGGGACACAAAGGCAGATGTTTGCCTTCTGTGTGAATAAAAATTGCTAATGCACAAATACAAGTGGTCAGAACAGAAAATTCACAGAAAACTTCAGCAGCGCTAGAAGAGGTCCAGAGATGAAAAAATCTCAAAGGGACACTCACCAAATTTAAATTAGGTATAATTTTTACTTTTGTAGGAGGAGTCACTGAATCTTTCTCAATTAAGGATCTGACTGAATATGCAGTCAATTCTTTTAGTAGGTCTACTTGACCACTTATAAAACTACTTGACACATAACAGAACCAAACAGTGTACTGAGGTTCAGTACTTGGATCTTTACAGGCAATGTGAAAGGAAGTAATGATCCCAAACGTTCCTGCAGACACCTGTGAGTTGGTAATAAATCTGTTTCTTCCATCTTGAATCCAGTTCTGTCTGCTTCACTGTCCAAAGAGCAGACAGGTTCAGTTATATTCTACATTAATGGCTCCTCAAATTCACTTTCCATTCCCAAAGCACTTTAAGAAAGCCTTAACATCCACAACAAGCACAGACAAACAGGCAGTTTCTGCTCTTAGATTAACTTGACATTACAGTAAAACAGAACAGGATCTAAATGTTTAACTTTACTAGAATTTGGACCAAGATTGTAATTTATACTAGTCATTTGGCCTGTACCCCATAATGAAAGTCTTAGAGGAATCACACAGTGGTAAAAGTGCATGGACAGCACATACTTGGAGGCTAGAAGCTCACTTCATCTTCTGAGTGAGTGAAGGATTGCTGCTGGGTCATGGGGACTGAGGCCCCAAAGTAAACACAGGTGTTGAGGAGGCAAGTGACTGGGGTTACCCCATCCAGTAGCTAAAGCAACACACACAGTCACGGAGACTTCAGTAAGTAAGACTTCAGTAAAGCATATGGACCGGACCGCTGAGATTTTGAGTTTCCTGTCAATTAACAAATTTCTTATCAAGCCTCATTTAGGAATAACAAGAATTTCACTATTAAATGATGCTGATTAGTGGCTAATGACTAGGCATTACTCTCACAGTGATCCACCCATGTGCCCCCAGTGTCTTGTTTTTGGATTGTGGTCATGCAGGTGGTCCATGGAATTCAAAGAAAAGAAATGAGGGAGGAGGTGAGCAGTTATTATCTGGCGTTGTGAAAAAAATAAATCTGTCTAAGAGCATTTGTACGGCAGATATGAAATTACTTTTGCAAAGAATATGTGTTGGTGTGCCAGTTCAAAGGGGGAAAGGCTAGAAAACATCATAAATCTAATTTTGGACGCTATGCAAGTGTCAGCGTATCTGCGTCTTTAACACTTGGACAGTTTTTCCTGAGTTGGGATTTCAAAATCTTTTAACACCTTGCTCGCCAAAACGAAAACACTACTTTGCTTGTACAAATTTTCCTAACAAGAACTCTTATTATTAAAAAGACACCGGTTAAACGGGGCTGGATTAAAACACTGCAGGGGGCTGGGTTAGTGGTGGTGCGGTTTAAGGTACCAGTGAGACAACGAAATATGATCCAGGAAGTCCAGTTGAAGTAGTGGCCTTAGCGGCGTTAAAAGGCTTATCGGATGCCAAACACTGCACAGCAGTGTGTAATGCCCACAGTCGGGACTTTACAACTTTGACCATTTTACAGTTGTAACTTTATCTCTTGTTAGGAAAACAGCTCAAGCCATCTACCAATTCTATGCACTTAATATTATTATATATACCTGAATGAATTTAACTGTGCACAAGTCTTTTAGATGGCATTGCAGTTTTGTTTTATTCTTTATTTTTGTAACCTGGCACGGCTGGTGTAGCTGGCTTGATGACACAAGTGTGCAGTCACGTTGATCTTTACCACCATTCCAATGACATGTCTGTGCAAGAGCTCACTGCTAGCGTTCTTTCTTCGTATTTTTTTTAATGAGCCTTTTGCATCAAAGATTGATAAACATTTTTTGAAGTTCATTTAGTTGTGGTTCTGACACTGAAATGCTAGTTTGTAAGTCCATTTAAATAAGTGAGAAAGTAGCTAAAACAGTATGCAGTACAAAATGCATATGTGGGCAAAAATGTTTTTTTTTTTTTAAATAGCTAGCAATCCTAAAGCATAAAACAGAAAGAAAAACACATCCAGAGCGAATATCGTGCAACACTACCTACTGACAGCATCTCATAACAACCACACCCTCCAGATGTTGCATTGCAGTGTTCAGTAAAAGCAACGACAACACCTGCCATGAAGTTAACAGGGTTTCCTGTTAACTTGACTGCAACTCAGTAAATTATGAAATACATGAAAATATGACACAATCAGAAACTCAACAAAAACTCCTGGTCGCTGTGTTACAAACTGGAGTTTATGTAATGTTTAGTTCACCTCTGCTGGGGGTGAACAGCTGTTACTGCATAACCAATATCTTCCAAGTGTGTTTATATATGTGTAAACACACCACTGCACTGCATACCAAAACCCAGAGGGCTTCTTCCTGAGCTGCAAGGTTCTTAAACTGTTGTTTTTACACTATTTATTCTCATTAGTATACACTGACTAATCTTATTGGATGCACTGGAGAATTCATGTTTTCATATTTCTAATATCTTTTTGGAAAGAGCATTTGATTATGTATACTGTTTGATTGTACAAAAACATATCTGACAGTCCATGTTGTTTGTTAAAACAACAGAAAACAGTCGGATCTTATTCTGTCATCCCGTAATTCTGTATTTTCTGGAGCTTTGTCAGCTGCATTACAATTATAGATTCTTATATATAATTTCTCATACAGCTTGGCCTTAGCAAACAAACAGCACCTGGAACCCAAAAACTGGAAAATAC